TCGTTCACATCCTCGGAGTAATTTAAAACTCGCGAATAATAACGCGAAAAATAAAATCGGGGTAACGAAATTCGTGAAATCAGTTGTCGAATCAGTCGACATTGCTAATTCTTTTTTTTTTCCTTCTACTACTCGCGAATAGATTGATTTGATTGATATGTGGGGTTTAACGTCCCAAAAGCACCATATGATTATGAGAGACGCCGTAGTGGAGGGTTCCGGAAATTTCGACCACCTGGGGTTCTTTGCGCGAATAGAATAAGTTGGATGGGTGTCGGATTGATATTCCAGCCGATGCGTTTTTGTGCTCTTCGCGAATGCGCAGGTACTGCTGCGCGAATGTGTGCAGTTTTCGGCTGTACAACTGTGTGTCTTTTTCCTCACACACCTACAATAATGCCCACTTGGTCGATGTATATTGCACTGATAAATAAATAAATAAGAAAACAGACAAATAAATAAATATCAAGAAATCAGAGAATGGCAGGACAGGTCACGCATAAAAAGGGTTGCAGACATCCTAGTTGACATCAAGCGCAAGAACTGGGATGGCCACGTAATGCATAGCACGGACAACCGGTTGACAAAAAGTACGAACCGCATGCGCAATGGTTACCAAGGGATGAGAAACGCAAACGGGGAAAGCAGTGAGCTATAGATGGAGAGACGAAATTCGGAAAGCTCGTGAGGATAAAACGTAAGATGAAGTCTCACAGGATATAGGGTAAACTGGAGATTATTGCAGGAGGGGTTCCAGTCTTGCGCTCTACTCAGTGAGGACGAGAATAATTTATTATTATTATTATTATTATTATTATTATTATTATTATTATTATTATTATTATTATTATTATTATTATTATTATTATTATTATTATTATTATTATTATTATTATTATTATTATTATTATTATTATTAATTTTGCAGTATATAGAAGATTCATCATCGTAATATTTGCTCCTTTTTCTAAGGGTTTGTCGCTTCACATATACATTTCTATGATTTGACCACAAAAATATAGCAATATTTATTTTACCATACCGAGCTTATCGCGCATTTCGAACAAAGGATTTTAAAAAAATGAAGTGGTTATACCCGCGACTACTGAATGAAATCCCCGACATATGATTTGCCATCATGCGGCACTCCGTGGGACATTTTTTAAATTGCGCTTAATTGGTAAATTAACCAAAATCAAATGATGCAAAGATTTTTAATATTCCCATTACGGGCAAGCGCATTTCGTGACGTTGTAGAGAACAGCGCCAAAGAACCGACCCTTTTTCGATGTCCGTCCGTCCGTCCGTCTGTCCGTCCGTCTGTCCGTCCGTCCGTCCGTCTGCCTGTCTGTCCGTCTGTCTGTCTGTCCATCCGTCTGTCTGTCCCTGTCCGTCTGTCTGTCTGCCTGCCTGCCTGTCTGCCTGCCTGTCTGTCCATCTGTCCGTCCGTCTGTCTGTCTGTCTGTCTGTCCGTCTGTCCGTCCACGCGCGCGCGCGCGCGCGCGTGTGTGTGTGTGTGTGTGTGTGTGTGTGTGTGTGTGTGTGTGTGTGTGTGTGTGTGTGTGTGTGTGTGGTGATCTTCGCCGGCGTTTAAGTATACATCCCACTAAATATTGATTGAAACCACGTGACTGCGCTCATGCGTAGTGCTATGAACCGAGCTTCGATAGAGAGAAAAAAAAAGCGGTCGCGGACCGTGGAGAAATGAGCAGCCGCGACTATGAGCACCGGTACGCCTCGGTGGATCAGTGGACATACGGTGCTCGGCTGCTGATCTGACGGTCGCGGGTTCGATGCCGGAGCCGGCGGTCACATTTCGATGAAGCCGAAGTATAGCAGAGGCCCCTGTTCTGCGCTGTGTCGGTGCACTTTAAAGAATAGCCAATGGTGGAAATTTCCGGAGCCCTCCACTATACGGCGTCTCTCGCAATCATATCGTGATTTTGGAACGTAAAACACCAGGTATTATTATTGTTGTGGGCATCGATTCTAATTCACGCAATGCCGCGAGGAAGTGCGCGCAGACGGCGCAACAGCAAGACGGTACGCAGCGCTAATAACTCCCACACTTGCATAATTAAAGGTGCAAGTCGGGATAATTAGAACCAATTAACCTGCGACGCATCTAATTACCGAGCAAAAAGGACAAAATACAAAATCAAGAACAAGGTCAAGGCGTGACGTCTTTCCTTCACCTCGTCCTTTGCCCTTTTGGGCAAGTTGTGTCTCAAGTGAATGATACATCTATAAACACATTGATATGTGGGATTTAACGTCCCAACACCGCCATATGATTACGAGAGACTCCGTTGTGGAGGGCTCCGGAAACTTTGACCACTTGGGGTTCTTTAGCGTGCAACAAAATCTGAGCACACGGGCCTACAGCATTATCGCCTCCATCGAAAAAGCAGCCGCCGCAGCCGGGATTCGAGCCCGCGACCTGCGGGTCAGCAACCGAGTACCTTAGCCACTACCACGGCGGGGCACATTAATACACACAGGACAGACGCCTGACACAGGACAGACGCCTTTAGCGCCTGTCCTGTAATTCTCGTCCTGTGCGAATGGTAACTTTGCTCTTAATTTTGTTTCAGGAAGTCTGTCAGTACTTTCTGATTTAGACAGTCGAGCCCTATGAAGTACAGTCGCGCTCAATGTGAGTTGCAACACGCCGGCTGTGGTTGACGTTTAAGCGACCGCAAGCCTTAACAATGACACCCACATACGTTAAATTGGGTATTAAAGTACTTCTAACTTGTAGAATTCGAATCACCATTTTTTTTTCTGTCTAGGTGCTATTCTCAAGTTTTGGCGTCATTCTGAGCCCATAAAGTGTTTTTCAGCCCACATTGTGCGTGGCTGCATGCCATTGCAAATGGTGGTGGTTTTTCGTTGTGACGGAATGGTGCTATGAAGTAGCTCAAACCAGGTATTTATAGTCGTCAGTATCTATTTGCCACTGCGATGCTCCAGAACTGTTTACCGTGCTGTAAAATTGGTTTCACCAATTTTGTTCAGCGCACAATTCGGTGCAGAGAACGGTGACGCTTTCTGGTTTTCGTGACATTCCCACCGTTTACGAATATCAAATACTAAACTAATAATAGCTAGTCGCGCTTCTCCTGCGTTTCTGTATCCGTTATTGGTTGGTTTAGTATCTCAAATCAGCGCGTGCCCTAAGATCGACCTGAGCCAATTATTACAGATGGCTTGCACTGACATCACTGAAAAAGCCACGTTGGAGCATCAACAATGTTGGGACGCAAACTTTGTAACGTCGAGTCAGTGTTATCTCTCAGTATGCATCACATGCCCCAGTACTTCGTTATTCGTGCATTGAGGCCCAGTGACGTTCCAGCGACGTCGTTACCATAACAAACCACGTTAATCGCTTAATCACCGCGTGATTATGCTGCCTTAACGTCATCTAAGCCGCCATGTTGTGCGTTCATGACGTCACGTGCACGTTACCAATAAGCTTCCGCTTATTGTAGTGAATACTGTCACGTGGTCATGACATTAACGAAGGCAGCAGCCGGAGCGTTCTACATGAAACTCTTTGAATTTGGATGAGCCCCGCCGCGGTGGTCTAGTGGCTAAGGTACTCGGCTGCTGACCTGCAGGTCGCGGGATCAAATCCCGGCTGCGGCGGCTGCGCTTCCGATGGAGGCGGAAACGTTGTAGGCCCGTGTGCTCAGATTTGGGCGCACGTTAAAGAACCCCAGGTGGTCAAAATTTCCGGAGCCCTCCACCACGGCGTCTCTCATAATCATATGGTGGTTTTGGGACTTTAAACCCCACATATCAATCAATCAATCAAATTTGGGTGAGCCTGTGCCCGGGAAACGAAAGTAAAAAATACAACAGTACACGCTACATACCAATAGCCGCGAACAGAGCGCCCAGCGCCGATAAACATATGTGCGGTGAGGAGCGTCAAATACGCACATGCGGCATCAAACGTTCGAGTCTGATCACACGTGCTTGCGTAAGCTCGCCGGTGAACAAAACTTCCCTGTGTCGCGTGCCGTACGTAATCTTAACTGAAGGAGCTCAAACAGTCGTCGTGAAGCTTCCCAAACATTCCAGCATGGTCTGCGTTGGGCATCGATAACGGTTTTCGTGCACTGAAACACGGTACATCGAGATCAGACAATAAACATGCGTGCCAATATTATAACAAGGAATACGTTAAACGAGAGTTTGCACGATGATGACTATCCAGCCAAAACGCTTAGCTTTAGTTAAAACCGTTTCATGTTTCGAGGCCGAATCCGCTTCTTCTACAAAGTCCTGCTGCTGCTGCTGTCCTTGAAGGATACGTACAGCCTTGTAATTTTTTTAATAATACCACACAGGCATCGACCACAAAGTAGTTCCGAACGTCGACGAGTCATCGATATGACTATCCTCATCCCACCAGCTTTCCGCGCCCACGATGGCACAGATAAGGCTGATATTGCTTCCGCATCTTTAAGCGCACAGCCGACAGCGTGTGCAGTGTACTCGCCCATCGTGTATGAAACCCCGTTGCTCCTCTACTTCATAAAGCGTTAATATGTCCAAGGGTCAAAGGTCGCACGATGCTACCAAGACATTGCAATGGTGTACAGAGTCGTCCACACCTCAGATATTCGACACGTCGTAGAAGCCGGTGCCAAGTACATAGTTCGCAAAAACGTTTGCTGTGATTATCGGCATCATGACAGACGTTTCGTAATAAGCATTTCACTGAACATTGGGTCATTTCGGTTGGAATTTGGGTTTTCAGACATCAGGCAGGCCTTTCCAGGTTTTCATGCCGGTTCGCCTGTCCATGGAAAATTGCACTTCGTTATTATTATTGTTTGCCTGAAATCAACTTAAACTTCATATGTGGTTGAGCCTGTACGTAAACAGGCTCGGTAGCGTGTTTTTTTTTTCTTCTTTCAACGAGACAGACAGAGGTGTCCGTTCGAAGACGTTTCACCCGCAAAAACGAGGTCTGCGTATATACTCACCACCAGCCTCGTTGAGAAGTTCCAACTTCATGCTCTTCGGAGTGTCGCGAAATCCGTCCTGCTGCGGCCCACCGGCACACAAGTATAGCAGTGGCACGCGTGCGGTGGGAGGTTAGCAGCCGGCGTGTGGCACTTCCAAGGGGAGCAGCGCGCACCAGGCGGCGTCCAGCGAATCGCTTTCACTCGCTACACTTTCACGCGCACCAGCGGCAGAGCGTCGTCTGCATGCTACGCGATCCAGACGCGCGCCGTCTTGTCGTTTTTTTTTTTCCCGCTGGGAAAGGAGGCGCCCGTTGTTACTACCCTCCGCTGTCGCCCGGCAGCTTCCCCCTTTTATTTTAAAGTCGGCGCCCACGCTGTCCTACAAAAAGGACGCTGCGCGAATGAAATAACAATGGAAGAGATAATTCGGGTAGAAGACAATCAATGTCATCAGCCGCTTAGGAGCAGTGTAGTGGCGTAGCCAAAGGCTAAAACACCGGGCCCGTGCCCCCCCCCCCCCTTCCAAAATGGTTTTCACCATGCATGCATAGAGAACTAAAAATGGCCATTCTAACGGAATGCCCTCGCCTAAACTAAGAAAGTGTCTCTCCTCACCACGCCTCCTCCCGATAAGAATTTCTGGCTGCGCCTCTGGAGCAGTGGTTAGACACACAGACTAGGGGACAAGTCAAAGTTCGATTAGTGAAGCTGTAGTTGATTCAGAATCCCAATTCACTGAAACTGTCCGTCACGCGATAAGTCGTGGCTACGGTGTTCGGCTCCCGAAGGTCGCTGGTTCGATCCCTCTCGCGGAGGTCGCTTTACGACAGAGGCGAAAATGGTAGAGGCCCGCAGACTATGAGATTTCCGTGCACGTCAAAGAACAATAGACGGGAGAATTCTCCGAAGCCCTCCACTACACGGCTTGTCTCATAATCGTATGACGCTTCTGGGACGTAAAAGTTCAGATATTGTTAGTAACCCAATCAATGCATTAAGATGCTAAACGTAGTTAGTGTTCATGATGAAAATTTCGTACAATTAACTCTCACGAGTCGAACAAGGACGGGATAAACAAGGACTTCGAGAAGCAAGTAGAAAGGAAGGAAGCAAGGCCGTGATCACTGACACGTGAAGCCGCAAGACTAGCTAACTCTACACGAAAAAAAAAGATAAAAATATGTAAGTAATGCCCTGGTCGGGCAAGCCACCGCCATCTTACGCTCCACATGTGCGTCCAATTGATTGACTAATATGTGGGTTTTAACGTCCCAAAACCACCACATGATTATGAGAGGCGCCGTAGTGGAGGGCTCCGGAAATTTCAGCCACCTGGAGTTCTTTAACGTGCACCCAAATCTGAGCACACGGGCATACAGCATTTCCGCCTTCATTGGAAATGCAGCCGCCGCAGCCGGAATTGGATCCCGTGACTTGCGGGTCAGCAGCCGAGTACCTTAGCCACTAGACCACCGCGGCGGGGCATGCGTCCAATTCGCCCAGATGATTAGGATTAAGGTGTTTTAGGTAACCAGCGGATTTAGCCTTGCGAAATAGCACATATATGAGCTAACTTGTACATATCCATTCCAAAAAGACAGGGCGCCCCGCCGCGGTGGTCTAGTGGCTAAGGTACTCGGCTGCTGACCCGCAGGTCGCGGGATCCAATCCCGGCTGCGGCGGCTGCATTTCCGATGGAGGCGGCAATGTTGTAGGCCCGTGTACTCAGATTTGGGTGCACGTTAAAGAACCACAAGTGGTCAAAATTTCCGGAGCCCTCCATTACGGCGTCTGTCATATGGTGGTTTTGGGACGTTAAACCCCACATATCAATCAATTAAAAAGACAGGGCATGCAAACACGGACACTATAAGGAAGCCGGTATACATCACAAACGTCTTACAAAAACAACTCAAGATGCGCACAACAGCGGAAAAGAAAGAAAGAACGAAAGCTTATCTGCGTATGCCCATGCGATTCGCGAACTTATCAATCTGGCCATGCGTGGCGGTCTACGTAAAGGATAACTCTTAGGACATTTGATTTCATCTGAGTTAATCGACGGTCGACACATGCATGCGCTACCACTATTATCCATATGCCAAGCTTACACCATCAAACGCGTTCCGGCATTGCTAAGCCAGAACGAAACGACGCATTCACCGAACTTCGGTGTGAAGTTCCACTCTGGACAGTGTAAAGAAGAAAGATCAGACTGTGATCCTCCGGTCAGCGATCTTTTACGTTTCAATAACATTCTCCTCTTCTATTGCATTTGCCCCGCTGCGGTGGTCTAGTGGCTTAGGGACCCGGCTGCTGACCCGCAGGTCACGGGATCAAATCCCAGCTGCGGTGGCTGCATTTTCGATGGAGGAAGAAATGTTGTAAGCCCGTGTGCTCCGATTTGGGTGCACGTTAAAGAACTCCAGGTGGTCGAAATTTCCGGAGCCCTCCACTACGGCGTCTCTCATAATCATATAATGGTCTCGGGACGTTAAACCCCGCAAATCAATCAATCTTCCATTGCGTTTCTACTAATTGATTGATATAAGGCGTTTAACGTCCTAGAACCACCATATGATTATGAGACGCCGTAGTGGAGGGCTCCGGAAATTTCGACCACCTGGGGTTCTTTAACGTGCACCCAAATCTGAGCACACGGGCCTACAACATTTCCGCCTCCATCGGAAATGCAGCCGCCGCAGCCGAGATTTGAACGCACGACCTGCGGGTCAGCAGCCGAGTACTTTAGCCACTATAGACCACCACAGCGGGGCCTTTTGCGTTTCTACTATCCCGCCATTGTGTGCCTTTGCCGTTTGTTAGTCGCCGTTTGAGGTGTCTGACGCGTAAGTGGTGTCTCGCGTTTAAAAAAAAAAAACAGTGCTTACGGTCGTTTGTTTAGGATCAAGTAAACCATCTGAGACTGCCTTATAAAGAGAAAGTCCAAAAAACACTTCCGTCATAAGCGTATAAAACGATGTGAGCCAGCACTGCGTAACATATTAAAATCGCACGTGTCAGTTTTGTTATTCGCCATACGATAAATAAACGACGAGTCGGCTTACACTCGCAGCGCGTTGGCACGCTCGACACGAACCGTGGATTTCGCGGTGTCTTACTTCACATTACACATGCCCACATTTCAAGTGGCAACGACGCGACGTTGCCGGCACGTATTTTGCTCAATTTTACGATGACGGCGCAGGAAAGGGTGGCCGCTGACTTCCGCGAACTTGCTTCGAAGTCACCGCAGCCGAGAGTGAATTTACATCAGCCGCACGCAATCCTCTACAGCGCCATTTGACTACACCGAAGAAAGCGTACGTTTTACATCCGCTATACGCGTTACGTCCTGGATGAAATACGTATGCGCCACCTGCCTGAATAACTCGACGTGAAGCAGAATTAAAAGAGATGCGGAGGGCACGGCACACTTATCCAGATGCAACACGAAAAGTGTTTTGCTAGAGAGCAAAGAGATAAAGAAAGAAAAAAGAACAGAAAAGAATAAACTCAGAGGGTATCTTATGCATTTCCCTAACACGACTACATGCCATCTTTTTCTTCTCCTCGATCGATGTACTGATTCTCCCCCTCCGAAAACTTGCCGCTCCTAACGTGCTTGTGCATGGCCTCCGGGATTGGATATATTGCAAGCTTTCTGCAACTCACATGGTTTTTGCACGGCCTCCGCGATCATACCTCTGTTGACCAAGCGAATACGTCACGCGATGACGTCATAGTGTGACATAACCTAACACGACGTAATGATGACATCGCAATGCACCGTAACGTGACGCCATAGTGATGACGTGATGGCGTCACAAACTTACTTGTGGAACAGCGCACAGAATCACATAAGTAAACATGGACTTTCAAAGTTACTGGCGTCACGAGTTCTGACGACCCGTGACACCTTGCTTGCGTCATATGGCGTCATCACCGCGTGATGATTACGTTTTGCATCATCATTTTCGACGCCGTCCACAGTCACTTTTCACATTTGATGAAGCATGTTTGCCTTCAAAGCCTCTTTAGTTATCGATATCTTCAATTGTTTCTGTTTCGTTATTTTCATTTTCCTTTTTCATATTTCTCTAAGTTATTTCTCAATCTATCTATCATTTTATCTCCGTTGCTTATCGCTCTATCTTCCTATTTCTTTCCTATTTCTTTGCTTTCTTTTTCTGATTTCTCCCTAGTTCTCGCTTGTTTCTTTCTACGTTTGTTCAGTCTCTATAGCTATTTCTCTCTTTCACCCTTTCTTTCTCTTTCTACATTTTTTTCTCCCATTTCTCTTTTGATAATCGTGTCTGTGCTGTTCTTTACTCTCTCCCGTCCTTCTTTCCTCCACCTCCTCCTCATCACTTATTTGTTTGTCACCTTCTGTTACTTTCTTTTTCACGCTTTCTCGTTTCCTTCCTGTCTTTTTTCTACCTTTCTCTCTCAATTTATCTTTCTTTTTCATCATTTCTTCTTCTCTTTCTCTGTTTCCTTTCCTGGCTTTCATTCTCTCTGTCTTTCACTAGAAGCGAAAGTTGGGCTGGTTGGTGGTTCATGCTTGGATGTAAAAACATCGCCAATATACAGGCAAAGACAGACGAACAGACGGGCGGACGGACGGACGCTTCGCCCCAGTCATCATCATTCACTCCGTGGATATATTGTGATTCTTTTTTTTAACCCATTCATTGTCACCACTTTATGGTTTTCCTCAAAATTGGCGACCCGGTATGGTTGTCTAGTGGTTATACAATGACCAACTTCCAGGCCGATGGCCAGGACATCAAATCCCAGTCAAGACGGCCTGGTAAAGGCACGCATACTTAGAAAAGTGGCTACTTGAGCGAGTAGGTATTGCACTATAAATGAAATATACTTTCTCGATGCGCAGAACGTTATGAAAAAAAATGTCATGTGGCAGAGCGCCCTCCTATCTGAGTCATCAGAATGAAGTCGAAGACAGGCACTACGTCTTCGTCTAAATCAGATAGGAGTGCACCCTGCCGTATCTGACTTTTTTTCCCCAGAACGTTCGGCGCAATAAGAAAGTATATTAATTTTAGAATCGTATAGAACCGCATACTTAGATTCACGTGGGCGTTACCGAAAAACCAGATCTCTGGAGACCTTCAACGAGGAGCGCCCTTCATAACCATACCGTGGCCGTCGAGCGTAAAACTCCCAAAATTACTCATTATAATAAAAAAGGCACAACATATTGATGAC